AAATGATTTTATCAATTTTATTCAATATAATACTTGATTCATATTTCCTGACTAAATTATATACAATTTCAATGTTACTTTAATAGTTTATCTTTCAAACAGAAAGGGAAATATAACAAGGAACAGGTTTTGGAAAAATATAATTTAAGGTTATCATTTATAATAATTTTTACCATTTTCAATTACAAATGACATCTCGTTGAGAATTTTGACATGTTAATACATACCAAATTCAAAAAATCATATAAGCACCGTTCTCAGAAACAAAACAAAAAAGAAAATTATTTAACTCAACATTTTCAATCTGCTCTTGCACACATCATCAGAGTTTACTATTCAGTTAATCTATTTTTACTATATAATAAACATTTCCATCAATATGAGAACTTAAAACATCTGTTAAGTTACTGACATCAATAAAAAGAATATTCATCTCCTCAGTAACTATCAAATATAAAATGAATGCTTGAAACCTCTTGGATTAGCTGAAAATATTTGCTTTTGCTACAAGACCATGTTTGGATTGTTGAACAGTTTAGCTTGATGAATATAAATGTCTTCCACATGTTTTGAAATGTCAACATATGAAATTTTATTGTATTTGGACTGTTATATATATCTGATTTGCATTGAATAGGGGGGAGGTAATTACTACCATCCAGTATATATGTATGTAGCATAGATCAATAGTTCTCAGCCACTATCCCACAAACTCTTTTATAGATATGTCATAGCACTTAAATTCTTATAAAAGTTTTAATTATTTTTATTATATTAAGTATTATTTGTATATATTTTTTATATAAAACAAATTTAGATCTTTAGTATTACTTTTTGCTTACATTGTATATATATATAATAATATTGTTGATGTGACAATAGCTCTTGGTATGCCATCAAAAGCTGCAAGTGTACTACTACTGACTCAAAAATATTGAGAATTACTGATGTAGATAAACATAATATCTGTCTTATTGTCTTATTTCAGATATATATTAATATCTATTAATTCTGAACAAATGAAATAGAATCAAAAGTAAACTGAAATTTTGGTATAAGTTTTTTAAAAACACTCAGTCTCATAAAATTACCTCTAAAAATTAACTCTTTTTGCAATTATACATTTCTAACAGCATCCATACCACTTGTCAAAACAGTCCTGGAAGCTGTTGTGTGTATTGAAAATAATTTAATACATCATCATAAATAATAGTTATAAGTTTTGTAAATTATGATATTGAATGACATTTAGTTTATTATAAGAAATTGTTGCATAGAAACATCCTAATACCTTAGTATTTGACAGATATGTAACATACTGATCTGATACTGATATATTAGTGTATTTGAATCTATTCAGCTTAGCCCAATGTCTGATTTTTTTCAATAGTCTAGAGATGATAACCAACACATCTGCATATCAGAATATTCTCAATTATATCAGTATCTGTTATCATCTCTAATATTTGACAACATAACAAGTTACAATAATAAAAATTTGCTAATTTTCTTGTAGTTAGTTAATTAACTATTGTTATGACAGAGTTCGCCAAAATAATAAATCAGAAAATCACTCTTTTATATGGTCTGATAAATTTTTATTATGAGTACATATTATAATACTTAAATCAGGTGTTATAAGGAAGACTAAGTTTTCATTAAAAATGTTGAATTTGTAGCATTTCTTGTCTTTCAAAAAATAATTTATATATTCCATACTGTTTTCATCTCAAAACACTGTATTAAGATGAGTTAAATATTTTATCTATATTAATATGATAAAGAGGTAACGTTTGTAAGTAAGTAAGTTTGCAGCAGGTAATCTCCGAAACTATTCATCCGATTTCAAAAATTCTTTCACCAATATTTAGAATGGAACTTCAGGGTGGACATTGTTTAATGGAATAATATATAGCCTTTCATATAAATTAAAAGATATCATCTATGGTTAAGGCTTTTATGTCCAACAGACAGCGCTACAAGTACGACGCCCTAAGTTTGCTTTTCTGTGAGGCATTACGCTTTTCTGTGAAAATGAACTAAAACGGATCATCTTCTATCTATCTAAATAAATAAAAATGTAATGTTTGTTTGTTCCTACCGATTCCTTTGAAATTTTGACACAAAGCTGCATTCGAATATGCACGTGTTTTTATATAATATACGTGTTGAAATTCCCCCCCTCACTGAAGGGAGATAGATAGGATTAAGGCTTACCGTGAAGAACTTGGCTTCTATTATACTATTTTAGATGCGGGTTTTTGCGTTTTTGATTGCATTTTAATAGGGTATGTCAAGAGAATGTACACTAAGAAGGGATTTTTTGAAAAATTCCCCCCCCCCACAGGGAAGTGTTATACATTTATAATATTAATAGATACATTTTGAGCCACAACAACACATGGCGGGGTCTGCTAGTAACAAATATATAGCATAACATTTAGTTATCATTTCATGTATTTATAAAACCAATTGGAAAGCAGCTGTAATTGATTAGAAAGAAACTCGATCTTATAACTATAGTACAATTAATATAACTTGTTAAACTAAGTTTTTTGTTACAATCTTATTAATTAGTTATAATAATTAAATCTGATCAAGGATTAAGATTCAGTTTAGTAAGTTATATTAATTATACTCCAATTATAGATTCATAGATGGCTATAATTGATTGGAAAATATTCAGTTAGCTTCCAATATGCTTTTTTATATACATTGAAAATATATCATCATGTTATCTTAATGATGATAAATTATTAATTTTTTAAAAATACATAATATATATATTAACATTATTTAATTTTAAAATTATGTTACATTATATATATTATGTTTATATGCTGTATATAAACATTATCATGTTGTATATTTGGTAGTATGTTATATAATTAGTGATAATAATCAAAGCAAGCTATTTTGTGTGATATATTTACAGACTCTTGTCACTGTGGTTTCTGCCCCTGCTGCTGACTGAAACTTTCAATCCCTCAACTTTCTCTTTTATGTTAGGTGTAACAGAAAAAAGTCTTTGGGATCAAGATCAAGAGAATAAATAATTGGAAAAATATTTTATGCTCTCCTTGATCAGAGAAGCCAAATGTGAAAATGACAGAAAATCCTTAAAGACATCACAAAAATGACTTTGAGAATTGTTTTGACAAATGGTATGAGTGCTGCCAGAAAGGTTTAACTGCAGAAAGAGCTTAAAGACTTTAAAAAACCTGTGCCAAACATTATTTATTTGTCACTCTATCTACCTCATATATATATTACTAGCTGTTACCCGTGACTTTGCCCATAGAGGTTTTGCAAGCAAACCCCATTTAACACCTTCAGTATTTCACTATTCAGTATTTCAACAACCATAGTAATTGTTATATAACACCTACTACTTAAAATGATGAGAATTGCTGAGAATCAAACAAACTATTTTCAATTTGATAAATTTTCTGGAACGTTTACAATCATGCTATAATCAAACCAATATGCAATAAAAAATTCAAATTTAAAATGGTTCAAATATTTGGTTAAAAAATCGAAATATATAAAAATATTTATAACAATGTCTGAAATGTTATCAATTTAATACACCTAAGTACTCAATGAAGACTAAATGTAGTTGAAAACAAAAAATTGCATCTAAAGTAGTACAGTAGAAGCCATTCTTCTGGTTAAGCCTTAATGCTCTCCCTCTCCCCCCTATGGGGGAATTTCAAAAAATCCCTTCTTAGTGTGTGTTTTCATGACATACCCTGTGTACTAAATTTCACCTCTTTAGGTTCAGTGGTTTGCTCTGGGCGATGATGAATCAGTGACTCAGTCAGTCAGTCAGGACAAGTAATTTTATATATTTAGATTTATTTATTTAGGTAACATATTAAGGAAGCTACAAATATAATCCAATTCAAAACATTTTTCTTAAAATTTCTGAAAAACTTTTGCCACAAGAGTTTTCAGACACTTAATAATATGACTTATCTGTTAACAGAAAAATATAAATAAATTCCCTAGTTACTCCTGATCACAAGTGTATAGCTCAAAAGCACATCAGATACATCCTTTCTAACAAAATGATGATATTTCTTAGTATTATCATTATTATTTTGTTACAGTTGAAATGTTGTTAGTTTGTTAGAGTGAAAATGTTTTAAATAAACTATACTTCTTAGTATCAAATGATGATACTAAAAAGAAGTATAGTTTATTTAAAACATTTCCATCTGTAACTATACTCAGTGCTTTTTTTGGGGGAAAAAAAGGTGGTGGAACACTCATCTCATTACTAAAAATATATTACATGTATCGTACACAAGATTCAGCACACAAGCAGGAGTGGGACCATCTTAATAATTTTGTTGCTGATTTTCTATGCTCAACAGAGCGATTCAACGTGGACCAAACATCAAATTTTCAAAAATTCTCTTAAAACTTTTAAAATATATTGAAAAAAGGGTGGTGGAACGCAGTTCCATTGCGTTCGATGACAAAAAAAGCACTGACTATATTTAAGGCATCATCATCATCAATACACAATCACTGATACAAAAGTGGACAATGTATGACTATGGCTAATATCAAGCCCACAATGATCACTTGAAAAGGAACCTAAGCAGAATATTGGGGTAGATACAAACATTAAAGAAAAATATAGCACCCATTGCAAAGTAAATTCACATTGTCTCATCTTAGAACTATTTTAATCTTACTGACTTAAATATTTGTAAGCATGTTGAAAAAATAATTCTAGAAAAATATACATTATTATTTTCAAATAAAGCCTAGACACTAATAAAAAATAATATTCAGAATTTGCATTTTATACTTAGTACTTGATTTTGCTTCAAAGAAGAAGCTTATTTTAATACTTCTTTTATAATATTTTATGTAATTAGATTTAATTAATTTTTATTCTGAGAATAAAGAATTAATTTGTGTATTTAAAATCAAAAAGAAAATCACTATTAACATATTAATAATATATTTGAATATTTCTTTTCTAGGATATAAACTTTCATCAAATGAAAATATTTATTAAATCTTTCGAGAAAAACAATTTAATCAAAAGTTTCAAGATTTAAAACCATAAACATTAAACTGAGAATAAATAATCAATAGAAATGCTAGAATACCAAATCATAGTTTCTAAAAAGGTAAATTTCATTTCATATGTTTCTCTTATATTTAAACATACAAAAAAAATCACTGATTTAAAAAATAAATTTAGTTACTTAGATTGTAGTGTATTTACATAAAGCAGAAAACTATATAAATATTTTAAATATTGTACTTAATCTTAAGCAAAACAATTCCAAATTAAAAATATTAGATTATAATTGATGAGATAACTTCAGTTAATCATACAACACTATAATTTCAATTGAAAGATTTTAGTTTAAATAAATAATTTTTTTTTCCTATAAAATCAACTGATAATTTATAAATAGTTAATTTTTAATTAGCTTTCATTTACAACTTAAAATATTAAAACTTATTTTCATTTATTTTGAAACTTTATATTATGTTTATTAACCTCATCCAATTTACAAATATTTAAAATGATCTTAAGATTAATTTTTTTACTCTAGAACAAAAACAAAATGAAAATAGCTAACCAGACACCTGATTTTCTATCATATTTTAGCTTTCAGTGATCTTATATAAAATACTTCAAAAATGGCATTATAAATAAAACCATGATGATTAAGAATTAAAAAAAATACATTTTAGCTGAAAAGACAATTTTTGAGATGGAAGAAAAAGTTATCATATATGGCAGTTATTTAGACCTCCTTGTAATAGTGGTACTCTCAACTTGATAATTTTTTTCTTGCATCATCCCTCTCTACTTCTTTATCAAAGTAGAAATATTGCAGTTTTTAGTAATACATGTAATAAGTGTTATGGTGCTGTTCAGCACTATTTCATAGCACTCCTGAAGTGCCATGATATAAGGTATTGTAAAATTTTCAGCATTTATTCTTAATAGAAAAGAAAGATTAAAAGAAAACAAAAATATATTTTTCTGTTTTTAACAAAATTTTTATTATCTTCTTTATAATAAGAATACTTTTTGAAGGTATCATAGGCTACTGGAATGTGACAACAGTTTTACATCCAGTAAGTAGAATATTTTATATTAAATAATTCTTGAAAATTCCATAATTCTTCATCTGCAGGTACATAAGAACTCTATTGGTGATTTAATGATCCAATGAATGTTGGATCATTGAATCACATAGAATTCCTATAAACCTGCAAACACAGGATTATGGAATTTCCAAGAATTATTTGATATAAACAAGTTCACTTGTCTATATCAGTATTTAGTTTATATAGAATCAGGAAAACAGTATTTTAGATGATTTAAGACATATTCATAAGTTTGAAGTCAAATTTTAAGGTTTTTAGACAGGAAAATTTATTAAATTTTGTGAAATAACAAGTTATAAAAACAATAAAATTCCATGAAATAGGTAATGTTTAACAGTTCCATTTCTATGTAGTTCTGTATATGCAATAATTATTCACTTTAATCTGCTTCATAATGTCATCTTGAAGGCATTTTAAATGTTTAAAAGGAGTTTAATTTAAACACTTGTTAGCAAAAAAAAGCACATTTGAACTGATGTGATCATTGAGCAGCTTAGCTAAACAATCTATTATTGATATGTAGGCACCAGTTTGTGCCACATTATGTACTATTTCAGGCCAAAGGCCTTTCTCAATTGTTTCCATTTCTTTCAAATGATATAATTTTAATCACCTGTTTAGAAATAATCTTGGTAATTATTAAATGTATTAAAGTCAAACAATTTTATCAAAATTCTCTGTATTTTTTTAACAACTTTATTTACTATTTTCAAAAATAAAATATACCATATATTACTTTGTTTTATAATTAATTTTCCAAATAAATAGTTTGAATATTTTTAGACTAATATCATTCTTTAAAAACAAAATAAATTTCATTATTCATAAAAATAGAAATAGAGGCCTTGGAAAATTAAGAAATAATAGAAGAAACTGAGAATATTTTTTAAAGTTGTAGTAATAACATACAGAAGACATTACACTGATTTTCCATTTAACTTTTAATAATTCTTTTATTTTGGCTTTAGCACAAAAGTTTTGTAGTATATACTGTAATAATTTTTACATTTAATATATATTCCTAAATACAACATATTAGCAATATATTACTATATTAATTTCTTTAAAATTATATTTACCATGAAATATTGTTACACATATAAGAGTAAATTCTTGATGTCATATCTATTAAATAAAGCAGTTTTTAAAAATGTATGTAAATTTTAAAACTAACTACATATTTTATATAGATATTGAAATGAAAAATGTAATCAATTAATAATTGCTATTAACTGAAAGGAATATTCCTTTCAGTTAATAGCAGTTAATTCAATATTTGATTAATTAATAGAACAATATACAAACAGACTTTTCATATGTTTCCAGCATTCAATATTTTGAACAAATGTTTAGTGGACAGTTTAATTTCAAATATGCTTACAGAATAGAGAATTTAGAGTAAACTATTCCATATATTAAATTTAAATCCTAGATTGAGGTTCACATTTTTTTCAATGTACTGATGGCAAAAATTACATAACTTAGATTTATTCATTGTTTTGTTTAAATAGTCTGTTAAACAAATGGATAAACAAATAGTAGAGAATCAATCAAATTGAGATATTAATAGAGAGATCAATATTCATTAATTTACTTATTATTTATTTGTTAATTTTATAAATTAAAGAATAACTTGAATGATTAACTTCTTTTATATGAAATTTATGTAGTGTGAAGACAAATATTTTAATTTTATATTCCTTTGTTTAGAAATATCTAAATAACTTAATTATGATAATGATTTTCTGTAGAACATTAAAGTTTAATTATTAAAGTACTTGTAACAATGATTGTCATATTTTATGGCATATACGATGAAGTTTTTGTCCATAAGACTCAAAAAATTTTCCTGCATCTTATTTGTGAAGTTGCAATCTCCCATAGGTTAATGAGTAGGCCACAGATAAGTACACTAAATACTTTTTTCCCTAAATAATTTGTGCTAAAATGGGCTGTATCTTATATGCTACAAAATATGCAAACTATGATAATGTAAAACATGATAGCTGTGATTCATTATTATGAAAACATCTTTTTTTAAAAAGGATAAGCTTATACTGTATATATCTAATTAAAGGCCAAATGACCCATAAAATTATATCAAGCTATAATATGGCTACTGTTTAATAAGACATGGCATCTAATGCCTCTCTCTAAGCAAAATTTATATTAATTAAATATTAAATAATATCTACATTATGGTATTTTTGAAATCATGCCAGTAATCTTTGTAATTCAAACACAAATTACTTATTGTATTTATACAGACACTTGGCAAATCACAGAATTAAATTTTATTCAGTAATTACATCAGTGTTTATTCAGTGATTACATATTACATCAATATAATTTAATCATTTGGCTTTAAGCAAAACTCAGTTTAACGGAAGTTCATATTTGTACATATTCTAATTATTACTACAAAAAACAAAACAAAGTTGATCTTTTTAATATGGAGAAAACTTATATGTGTAAAGATTATTACTAAATTAATTCTATCTTCCAAAATTATAATCAATTCAGATAAAACAGGCACATTACTCTAATACAGTTTCCTGGACTAGAGTCCATAGACCCTTGAAGCTACAAACCAATTCAGAGGGTTCATATAACATTCAGAAGGTATCTAGTAATAAACTTTTATTTTCCTAAAACTATGCTGATAGAATCATAACAAGTTTCATAATAATGAAAATGAATAATATTTTATAATTAGTATGTATAAAATTTGCTTCTCTTATAAAGAACTTTCAATTCACACTACTAATTCATCTTTAAACTTATTTATGTATAGCTCTAACATTAAGCCTGGAATATATTAACATAAAAAACCATACACATCCGAATCTTAATTCCAGTATTTGTGTATGAATTGTTTATGTACTCAGCTAATGGAAAGCACCTTGCACACAGGAATGAACTTTTAATGCAGCACATTAGATAAGTGCTGACTTTTTATGATCCTATGCATTAATTAATGCATCCTTTTAACTACTATATATATATACACCAAACTGATGCTAAGATATTATAACTTATGTTATTGATGTAAAACTAACCAAAAAATAAAAATAAAGTTGAGTTGTTTTACACAAAAACGTATGGGTGCACAAACATTTTTCAGTTTTGAAGGTGTCTGAAGATCTCAGTAGCTTGATATTCAAGAATTAAAACAGCAATTTTTTAGAAAATATCCAAAATGTCATGTCAAAAAAATAGTTGCCAACATACAGGTAATATGAAGGCAGATTGTTTACAATTTTAAATAACTGAGATTGCCATTTCCAACCATAAATGGTTTAACTTATTAAAAATATTTTACTCCAAAAATTTAAAATAAAAATTCATCAATAGAATTTTATAAAATTATTTTAACTTTATATAAAATAAATTAAAAGTTTATTCTCTGTATTACAGAACTATAGAAGTGTATATCCTGGAAAAGCTCAGTTATGTGTTTTTCATTCTCTTGATAATCAGGTAAATGGTTTTATTCCAGTGATATAATAATTGTTTTTCTTTTATTATGAAAATATTGCATATTTTACAATATGTATTTGATATTGTATTTATAACAAAATTTGTTAATAAATTAGTAATTCTATAAATATGCCATAATTCAAAGATTATGATAAAGATTATTTTTTGATTCAGATAAGAGATAATTTTAAATCATCAAACAACTGAATATTAAGCCATCATATTTTGGTAGCCATAGTAATTTTTAATGGTTGCCCAAAGATTAAAAAAGTTCAATAATTTTATCACCTCAGTATATTATAATTGTACATACATCAAAATTATATCAACATTCTATTGTATTTTTTTACTATAATTCTCAAACAAAGGACATTCTTAACCTAAAAAAACCACAATGGGATCATCATGATCCATAGTAGTGATTCTCAACCACTGTGCCGCGGCACTTTAGTGTGCTGCAAGATTTTTGAAGTGTGCTGCCACTGCAAATATCCATACATAAGCGACATCAGACAAGTAGTTTAATCGGTTTACCTTCTTGGAGTGCGTTTGGAAATTGTAACCAGTGTTACTGGTAACTGCCGGTAGTTACCAAGGTGTTTAGAAAATGTGACCTAAATAACCAACTGCATTTAAAAATCACTATTATGACGTCACTGGTTGGCCTGTGGTACACTTACCAAAGTAACTGTGTGCGCTGCCAAATTTTTAAATTATTAAAAGTGTACCATATCAAAAAAAAAAAAAAAAAAAAAAAGGGTTGAGAATCACTGATCCATAGGCTTACATATTTTCTCCCCTTCCATTACTGATGACTTGATTATGTCCCTTTTAGCATCTTTCTAAACCTATCTCCTCTGCATAATACAATAATCATAACTTAATTTGGATGCAGCAATTCCTAAAAAAAGTTATGACTTACAAACACCTTTTTTATTGATGTAAATATTTAAACTTTAAATTTTGTGGCTAAGATGTAAGAAAATTCAGTTAATTTTGAATAAAAAGGATCTAATCTTTGTAAAAGTCTGGAGCACTTGAGAGAAAAAAAAATGAAAAAACATGTCATTGTATCCCAGAACTAGAAACAAAACTTATCAGAAATGTACAATTTGCAAGAAGTTCATATGTGGTAAGCATGGAAGCATATTTGCTTGGATTGTCTTGAAAGTGACAAAACTAGTGATTCTAGGAATCAAGAGGAGGCTGTGTAAATATTATTGTATTTATGTGCAATTTTTTGCAAATAAAATAATAAACATTTTATTCATAGTCTTTAGGAAGTTTACAATTATAATTATTGTTGGTTTGAATCAAGTTTTGAAAACATACATGTTTTTGATCCATGTAATTTATTGTAAATTTTTTTTAACTTTTTAAAATAAATTTTTACATTAATAGTGAGAAATTCAAATTAAGTTATGGTTATTTTTGTTTCAAAAGACAGTGTTGAGTGACATATCAACATAATTTTTAAAAATCAAATTAAATTATGAAGTAAATTAAATAATGATCTGTGGATCACACTGACCTATCATTATCTCTTTAAGACACAAAGATACAACTAGTAACAGGTTAAACACCATATAAACATGATTTGGGTCCACATGGATCAAATTAAGATCTATCTTTTTAAATTTATTAATTAAATAATTTTAACCAATTGATATAACATTTACAATAATGTTAAATTTAAGACTTTAAATATTATATTTACACAATTTTTTGAATTAAATATAAGAGAATTTATTTTGGTGCAATAATCAAACTTTTGAATATGGAGCATGTGCAGAAAAATTCCATTATATCAGATTTAGTTCAAATACATGGGTAAATCAGCAAAAGCAAATACAGAATTGTTAAGAATGTGTACAGGAGATCAGATCCTAAACATTCAAAACACATGGAAAATTCTTTATTCCCATATTTAGCGGGAAACAATTTGTAGCATATAAGTTTCAAGTGTGTCAACATGTTAACATACTTACATCAGTATAACATGAAGTCTCAAAACGAATAAAACAGTAACTGACCATGGGTAAATTCTATTTGCACTGAAAATTTAGTAGAGTTCTTGATATCAATTGGGAATGAAACATTACAAGATTTACTGAATAAGTTGACAGTAATTAATAATTTAATAAGAATATTTACTCATTTCTCATCATTTGTTCATCAATTTTATTAACTCATTATTTTTACAGGGATATAAACAAAAATATACCAATTACATCAAACTTTTAGACCAGTGATCTCAAACATCTTTTAAATAAATTGTATATATACTGTATAGAAATAAATTCAATAATGATTGATTTGATGGATAGATAGCATAGAAAGTTAAAATTTAATTGAACATGTAATTTTATTTGTAACTAACTTGATTGTTTCCACATGAAACATTATTTTAATATATTTTGTAATGCCACAGTTTTCAACTCATTTGCATCACCTATTGTCACATACAGCCTTCCATGTAAAAAGTGTAATGTATAGATGTTAGTAAGATTTGCTCACACACAAAAGTAAAGCATGTATGTATTTCAGTCTACAAATTTTAATGTATATTACTGGTGCTTTTAACATGCATATTGCATATTTCAAGAATTTTAACATGCACACAATAGTGCATACATCTTGCATTTTTGGGTGCATATGTAAGTACATATATTAAAATTTTAAACATATACCAATCTGGCTCCTAACACTATTTCATGAAAGTCAATTTAGTGAGAAGGGTTCAAATAGATTTAATATGGTCTAATCACTTTCAAACTTTCAAAGTGAACTGAAAATAAACTATATTCTTAAACATTTGAATATGTTTAAACCAAAATGAAATCATAATATAATAGTAATTTTAAAAGATACCTGTTAATAAGTAAGTCTTAAGCACAAAAATTTAAAAATCTCTGTGTTTATTTTAATTTTCTTATTTTATAACAGTATACCAGTACATGTAATCAAATATTACAGAAAAAAATTAATTCAAAAACAAAAATTTAATATATAATGTATAAATCAAAATTATTTATGTCTTTATTAAAGTTTGTTTTTGACTCACTTAACATATATTATATAATTCATTAAAATAGAGGGGAAAAAGTGCTCAGATTATTTTTTCTTTTTAAAACTAACTGATATAACTTTAGAAATATTTAATAATGATTTAATACTAATTAAAAATTATCTTTACTATCTAATTATTGTATGTAATGAAGCTAAAACAGATATTCCTGAAGTAATCATCTACAGTTATTGTGTCATTACTTTTTAATCATAGTAAAAATACATAAATAATACAGAGATTTATCCAAATGAAGAAATTTTTATTTATATGTACAGTACATACAATATCAAATTAATATACTACATCAAAATAATTTATGCCAGTCTAACAAAAAATGAAATTAAATATATACTGTATAAGCTGTTATATGAAGGTGAGTCAAAACAAATTAAACTGTTTTCTTATTGAAATGTAGAATTGCTATCATCAGCGTGATTTGTCTTTTCTTGAAGCATTTCTCATGGAATTTAATGTACTTCCGTCATTCTTTCTGCTATTCCTTGAAAATTTATAAAGTTCATTTTTTGAGATTTTCTTAATTGTTTCTTATGCTCTGACAGAAAATGGATTCCTTGTAACTTTAAAGTCAATGCTGGGAATAGGAAACAATCACAGGGTGCAAAATCTGGGCTGTATGGTGGATTTGAGATGCACAAGATGTTTTCTTGTCAAAAATCTTAGTTGTCATATTAGCAACAAGCAGGTGTACATTGTCATAGTGCCACCAACCATTGGTATGGTGATTGTTTAGGATATTTTCTGCAGAAAATGTGCCAAAGTGTGTAAAACTGACAAGTTTCACTGTTCAGTGACTATTGTGGTGGACATATTGTGGTAGACTAAGTTGCCACACTATTATTCCTTGGCAATTAAAAAGTGATGACCATTACCTTACCAGATGACAGAGCAACTTTGGCCGCTGATCAATCCTGAGAATACAGTGGGTGATCGGTTAACGAACAAATCGGATAACGAACACTTTTGTGAAAGATTTTTATGATCGGACAATGAACACATGATCAGATAACAAACACTTCACTGAACAAACATAAAAAGAAGCGATGAAAATAGCAAATATCGACTGATTTTCCTTTGTTTCCAGATAACTTTTTGAAGCATGGGAGACCTCAAGGTTGACGCTCAACCTGATATATACTGATTAGATAGTATCCCTCGAACTTTGAAATACTCCCTTGTAATTCCAACCTTTTATTTTTCTGACAAACAATTCTTTTATAGTATTCGCGAGACTGTTGGGCAGGCACTCATTAAGTTTTGTGTCAATTTTTATTTTCGAAAGGTGAGAGTATAATAGCAAAGGTAGAGAGTAAGCAGAAGATGTCTGATGTTGCTGGGTAGTATGGCTTGAACGAATCTACAGTAGGGCACAGTTCAATCTTATCTAAGAAAGATACAGTATAAAAGACTCAAGCAGTTAAAGGAGTAACAAAAATTACATCTGAGAAATAAAAAATAATGGAGAGCTCATAATGGAACCTGAAACGGATCTGACAACAGAAGAACACCAAGAACTCTTGAATGGAGAACACCAAGAAATTGGCAAGATATGTTTTATTCTGAAAAAGAAGATTAATGCCGATATCTGCTATTAATTAAAGATCTTTTGAAGAAGTGGGGGATGTCAGATCAATGGTCTTAGAATGGCATACAAACTAGGTTGAGGTTAATAGGCTTGGGGATCTCTACAATTACAATGCCATTAATTACTTCTGAAAAATCCTGAAGAAGAGAGAAAAGCAATCAACATTAGACAGATTATTTAACCCCCACAAACAAAAAACCATAACTAATAAAAATGCAAGTCTGTGTATGTATGTATTTTTATTATTACATAGAAATAAACGTAGTAAGAAAGTATATATTTTTTATTTTGGGAGGTCTCCAGAGCAAACCTATGGTAAATTCATAATTGGTTAATGAACAATTCGGATAGTGAACAAAGTCTTGGAATGGATTATGTTCGTTAACCGATCACCCACTGTATTTGTAAATAGAAGTGATGTAGTCAGTTTCATCACCACAAACTAACTGCAGAAATGAGTCAACCATTTGAGGTT